ACCTCAATTCTTAAATCCAAATGGAAGCTGTTTTAATTGTGGATTGACAAGGGAGCAGATATTAACTGGGAAATATCTATATAGGTAGTCCTCAACTTATGATCACAATTGAGCCCAAAATTTAGGTTCCTGAGAAATTTGTCAAGTGACTTTTGTCCCACTTTACGACTTTTCTTGCCACACTGAATCACTGCAGTTGTTAAATTAGTTACAAGTTGTTTGTTAAGTGGATCTGGCTTCCCCATTGACTTTGCTTGTCAGAAGGTTGCAAAAGGTGATCACATGACCCCGGGGACACTGCAGACACTGCAACCATGATAAGTGTGACTCAGTTGTCAAGCATCTGAATGTAAATCACGTGACCATGGGGATGCTACAATGGTCATAAGTGTAAAAAACTGAAAGTGAAAAGTCACTTTTTGCCTTTGTAACTTTGAAGGATCACTAAATGAGTAAATTGAGGACTACCTAAGTGGGCAAGAATTTCTGAATATCCCCTGGCTGATCAGTATTCTGGACAATTAAATCCTCCAAGCAGGAAACTTTCAGAACTGTGCAAATCTTTCAAAACAGATGTTTCAGAAGACATGACATATATGAAAAAACTCTTTAAATTATTAAAATGTTTCCAAACTGCTGCTTCTGGCTATCTTCACATGCCTGTTCATGCCTAGCCATTTCATTCTATGCAAGCCAAAAAAAAAAAAAAAAAATGCAGCTGCTTTAACAAGCCAAATATTGGGGCGCCTCATGTCCTCTTGCATATTTCAAAGCACCACTTTCAAAGGATTACACAAACTGCAACATAATGTTACCTCTAACATTGCCAAACTAGTTCTACATATTAATGTAGCAGGATAGCTGATACAATAACAGGTATCAGCAGAACAACTGTCCCAACACTGAAAGGAACTCAGAATTGGCAGAATGTTTGAGACAACTTCTTGTAGTAAAATGGAATTCGTACAAAGCAACAATGACTTGCTCCCAGCTCAGATTCCCAATCTTGCTGTCCAAATCTAGCCTGCTACATCATAGAAAACTCTGGAGAAATGGGAAAGATGAATCACTCTCTACCTTCAAATTTATTTATTATTATAAAACTCCTATGCCACCCATCTGGCAGAGACGATTCTACATGGAGTTAAGTCTCCATTATACGGGTATATACAGGTTGGAGTTACCATTCAGAATTAAATGGTGGTTGGTAGATATTTTACCAACAATTGACTTGGCATTCAAAAAGAGAGATCTGTGACATAGACGGTCAACTTTCGCAGGAATGTAGACTTCCTTGGTTAGATGTTTAGGAAAGGAGGCCAACCAGCAGCCTGTCTTTATTTTCCTGCAATGGTCAGGTTGGAAACTCTCCCATATGCCCAAATTTGTCCTTCCACTTATACTTGCTCCTGAGCGATTTTTTTCTGTTCTCAGTTCAAACTCCAGTAACATCAGCCACACAAGCAGTTTGTCAGTAAATAAGGCACCATCTTCCTGCACACGTACAGACTGCAGTGTGGCGCCCTTAATCCTTGAGGTTGCCCCTTTGAGGACACGCAGCAGTGAATGCAATGTGCTTGCATAGGACAACCAGAACCCCACATCAGAACTACCAGTAATGTAAAGATGGAAAAACAGGGACTTGGGCAGAGATGCCAAAAAACTTCCAACAAGCACCAGCCAAGGATAACTGTTAGTCTGTTTCAGAAAAGGGGGGCTCAAATAGTGACCTAGGCAGACAAGGGGACAAGTTTACTTACTTATAGAGCAGTGGTTCTCAACTTTTTTAATGCTGCGACCCCCAACCGGTTGTAAGTCGAGGACTACTCAACTGGTGCAGCACCGTTTGCAGAATGGGACTTTTGGCGGGCTCAGCAGGGCAGAGACAGCCTGGACAATTCCTATTGGCTTTTGAAAGCCAATAGAATTAGACTCTATTCAAATAGAGAGTCTATTCTATTGGCTTTCAAAAGCCAATAGAATAAAAGGGAGTAGCACAGCTAAGGAAAAGGGGGAAAAATGGCGGACTGCGTTGTTTGGCGACCCCCATGAAATGGTCGTTCGACCCCAAATGGGGTCCTGACCCACAGGTTGAGAACCACTGTTATAGAGTTTCAGTCTCCCTCTAGTCAAGATAATGCTCTTCCTTTACTCCTAGAGATGCCTACAAGCTGCTCATGGCTTCTTCCTTTCCTTGTCTGCTCTTCTCTCCCCCCTCCTCACTTTAGGGCCCCTTTTCCCTCTATCATTTGTAACCCATTTGTGTAGTAATGGAAGTGAAATCAGCCTGTATTGCTGAACAAAATAATTTTACTCAGTACCACCCTTTCATTTCAGACGCAGGAAATTTCTGTAGGAAATCACCAGTACAAATTCATTATGCTTATTTGCAAATGCATATACATTAGCAAGTATTCATAAAATGCTTTTTTTCAAATTACCTTTAATTATCTAAATACAGTATATTAGTAATGCTCATACGTATTTCAATTTTCTTCTATATAATTATTTTTCTTGCTTACTGAATTCTTTAAGCATGTGTCAAACTCATTAATTTTGTGTCTTACAGAATTATTAGCTTTCATTACTCTTCATATCTAGCTTAGTAGATAGAACATTAAATTTTAATCTGACATAAGGAGGTTCAAATACACTTCTTTTTCCAAAGAATTATTAGAAAATGTATCATTTGAATGGGTCACCTATGCACTTAGCAAAATTTAAGAATCTAGGATTGATATGCAGCAATCTCTTATTTGCATATGTGTAATACACACACACACACACACATACATGCAAATTCAAATTACCTTCTGTGAAAAATTCTGATCAGAATGTTTAAAGCCCTGTTATCTTTTGTCTAAAAAGTCAAGAGTTGTTTCAACTAGGAAATACAAAAATACATATGTACAGAAAACTATCTAACTTGCTATAGTTTTACAGTCCAAATCTGTAAAATTGGATTGATCATGACTTGTACACATTTATCTTAGATTTAAAAAATAGTACTTGCCCAGAGACTTGTAGATGAAAGGGAAAGGTAGAAATCAAGCTTTTTAAAAAAATTCCATCTACATAATTACATAGCTTCCATTTAATTATTAGAACCTATCAGTAACCATAATAACCAATGTAAGTGTGCATGGAACGATAGAAGATTTGTTCTCCTGACTTTACCTCTGCAATCCACCCCCCCCAATATTTTGATTGTACTTTTTAAAAAATCTGTGAACATATAAACACAGAAGCCAAAAGCTTACACAGTACTTTCAACATGACAATGTTTGAGTAATCAAATTACAAGTATCTTTTACATAAATGTTATTTTAACAGATTTTTGGGAGTTTGATTTTCAGGTATAATATGAATCCACATATACATTCAGCATCTACATATATACAAATACATATGGAGAACTTAAAAAGGGAAAGGAGAAAAAATTGGAAGGGCCAGGTGCCATTAGAAATCAGCACTGAAAAATCTATGAGGACTGTAGATTAAATCAAACAAATTTATGTAAATGAAAAATCAAGTATTTATTTCAGAGTTATTCTCCATATTTATAGTTAAATTAATATTAATTGTGTTTCAAGATGCCATATTACTATTCATTAAGTGATATTAATTTTGTTACAAGATGGGAAAACCAAAGTAAATATTTTGAGTAGCAGTAACAGCAATTATTTCACCAGTTATTCTAGAACATTTCCACTGAATTCAGTGAAAGTATTGCTTCAGAAGATATTTTTAAACCTGAAGATATAATTTTTTTATTACCTTGTTCTACTGCATCCTCATCAACCAAATAATAAATAAATAAATAAATAAATAAAAATCCACAACAGATCTTAAAATTTTGCTCAAACCAGAAAAAAAAATGAAAGCAAACTTGACACAGACACAAAAAAAATATGTCTCAGTTTGCTAGGAAATCCCCAAAAGTAATAACAGATGTATTCACATGAAACATTATTGAAGTTTTGCAGATATACCCAATCAAAACCCAGGTCTTCCTACACTCAATGAAGGATTTAAAATAAAATAAAAAAGACTTTAACAACGTGCACAGGAATTTCAGGAATTTGTATCTGTTTCATTTCCCTCCTGAGCCAATTATGTGATAGTACAAATAAAAATTTAATTCCTGATTTTTAGTTCTTAGATAATCAAAGGACAGAAAAGAAAGTGAAAAAGCACATGTGTGTAGCAGTCAAATATAGCTAACTGAATTAACTCTTTTATGCTGTTATTTGTTTTTACAGTCATAATAGCCTTTTACATGCTGAAGGAATCATGCCTTTATTTGTACATAAATATTTATGACAACACCACCTTTTATATTTGCACTTCTAAACTTGGAAGCATTAAAGATTGAGTAGCTTTGTTGCTCAGAGGTCTAGTAAATATATTTTCCTCTCACAGATTATCACATGCTGAGCATAAATTAGGCTTTGATATGTTATTTTCTACAATATGAGATGCATTTGTTCCAAATAGCAAACCAAGACAAATACTATTTATAACTTCATTGTATTGTCACAAAAAGTAACACTATTTAATGTTTTCTTTCTAAGTAGGTTCTACTTTTTGTATAGATTCTTTAAGTTCAAATCAACACACACAGAATTGCAGGGTTTACATCTGATTTTCTCTCTCTCCTATTTTAATAAAGAGTGATCTTATCAGTTGACCAATAGATTACAAACAAAATTCCTCTAGAATTACACTGGAAACAAAAAAAAGCAAGGCTTCATACTACAACGTTGTGTTGAGAAGGTACCTTATTAGCTTTTATTAACTATAAGGTACCTTCTCAATACTCCGATTTCAATGGGACTGTTGCTATCTGAAATTAGTTCCTAACAGAGCAGGCACAATAGCCCTTTACGCAAACAACGTTTAGATCATATGAAACAGAAACAATCTTAAACGGAACTAGGATTTGTTAATTTTAGCGAAAACGGAGCGAGATGAGAATTTAAGTAACAAAAAGTGCTTACTTGGTGTACAAAGACATCAACCGGAGACTCCAACGGGCTTCCCTCGCGGTTGAGCATGGAAATAAATCCGAATCCCATTCGCACATTAAACCACTTGCAATGGCCCGTTCCGTGCAAAACCTGGGATTTCTCCTCCTCTTCCTCTTCTTCTTCCTCTTCTTGTTCAGGCAATTTCCCGGGTTCATCTCCACTTTTACGCGCCCCCGCTGATTTGGAGAGGGATGGCGGAAAAAACCAAGAAACTACGTAAATATACACGCGCGACACACTTCTCTCTCTCTCTCTCTCTCTTACACACAGGCAGAGAATTAAATTCTAGTAACATCTCCTTGGCGGTTGCGTACAGAAGAGGACGGAAAGCACACACAAACGCACGTTCGGCGTTACGAAATCGCGCTATTTTCCTTCCCTTCCGACCCCTCCCCCCCACACGAACATTTTAAAACCCACCAACATTTCAAGCGCACCCACGCCCAGATCTCGTAGGAGGAGGAAATAAACTGCATTTCGAAAGAAAAATAAAAGCATCGCCTAAGGAAAAGGCAGCATCTGCTGTGACTCAGGCTATATTTTTCATACACTCCCCGCCACACGCACAAACAGTAGCAGCAGCAGCAGCAGCAGCCGCCGCCGCCGCAGCAGCAAGCAGCAGCAGCCCAGCCTACCCCACGTTGTTCTGTACATACGTGCGATCCTGCCCTTTAACTCCATCTTTCAGCCACATAAACCACCCCAGAAAACGATACTTTACTTGGATACTGCTGGTTGAGCACCGATCCCATCCCTCCCCAGAGGAATTCGCAGGCGAATGAGTCTTGGCTGGTGAGGGAGGGAGGGAGGGAGGGAGCGATCGAGCGAGGAGAGGCGGGGGGGGGGGCGACCGAGCCGAGGGAGAAGGCGATTGCACAACCGCTTGGAACAGCCCAATCCAGCGGCCCCGAACGCCGGGTGTTATTTTCCAACTGCGCTCGCTTCTCTCGCGCTCTTCCTCCGGCAAACCCCCCTCCCCTTTCTCGAACGCTGGAATGACTCTACCAGAGCCGAATGGAGCCGGGCGGCGGTGGGGAGGAGGGGAGGGAAAGGGGGGGGAGGGCAGGTGTATAAAAGTTTCTCTTCCCCTTTCTGCCTTCAGCGGCTACTTGCTTGCTCAATCACGCCGGGAACAATGGTCCCTCTGAACGCTTTTCAACTTGGGTGAATCGGTGTGGGCGGCGCAGAGCAACACGGAGGAGAGCTCTCGGCCACAATAGGATTCTTCCCCCCCCCTTTTTTTTCTTCCCAATCTCCCATTTCATGGTTGTGGTGGGCGTTCTTTTTTTTTTTTCCCCCTTAAACGAACTGTCCAAATTAAAGGGCTCTTTTTAAATAAATAAATAAATGATTAAAAAAAAAAAGACGGGAGAAGAAAGGGAAAGTAAGGCGATGTTTAAAAGGAAAAAAAAGCAACCCAGGAAAAGAAGGGAGGGGGGGGAGAATAACCTTCGGCCATGTTGCTTTACAGGCCCTGTGTTCCAAAGTAGCAAGGCGGAAAGTATCCCCCTCACTCACACACACCGCCTTCCCGGTTGGGAGAAGCAGTCTCGGGAATTAGCTTTTAACATCTTGATTTTTTTTTTTTTTTTTGAGCCATTCCCCGCTTTGGCTGTCTGGTTCCTGCTCTTTTTTTGGAGCTTGCGCTGCCCCTCCCCCCCCCGCCCAGGCCAAGCGCCTCCATGCTCTTCTGGCTGGTATTCTGGGCCCCCGTTGCACGTGACTCGCTCAATTACATGCCTTCTTACTACTAATTTCACCTCGGGTCTTCCGAGTTGGGGTGAGGTTGGGTGGTGGTGGGGGGTGGGGGAAGGCTGGCAAAAAGGACTAGCCAATCGGCACTTCCAACGGCCCTGACACGCCGGACTCATTTACGAATCAACAACGAAATTTGAAAATCCGCTCCCCGTGCCACGAGTTGGCACGTTTTCTGTACGTAGATCCGTCTGACGCTCGTGAAGGGTGGGGAATTCTTTGCTGCCTTAGCACAGGCGGCGTACAGCGTTCTCCGGAGCGAAAGCCTAAATATATATATATATGAGGACCCGCGTGCAAACTAATCTCGTAACGGTAGAAACCCGGGAGGTGGAAAGCGCCGCTCTTAAAGGAGCTCTGAAGCTGATCCACGAATCAGGCGATGGGGCTTACCTAAATAGCAATCGGCGGTTTTATTTTAAGTTAACCCCTTGGCATCATATCTGTATTTTTAAATGGGCTGACTTGGAGGTGTTTTAGATCTTTGTGTAAGCGTGCCGGTCGCGTCCCGCTGGAACCGATGATGGCCAGAAATAGGGGGCGCAAGTCTTGCGTCTTCCTGCACACATTTACCTGAAAGTAAGCCGCCTTCCTTTCCACTGATCGCGCGCAGAAATTGGCAGCAGAGGCCTGCGCCCACCCCGCCCGCCAAAGTAAATATATCTGATCTTCACGGATCTTACTATTATGTGAGTGTATCTACGACTGTAATCTTGCAGAATTGGCAATGAATCAATAAGATCATCAAGTCCACTCCCTTGCTCGGTGCAGGAATCCAAATTAAATTATCTCACACGAACAGTTGGCGAGACTTGAGACGCATCCTGTGAATAAGAGCCCTCTGTTTAATTATTAGGATTTCCCCACTCCACCCCCATTTTAATTCGGAATTTGCTTTCCTGAAACTTAGATCTATTATTGGGGGTCCCGCTCTCTTTACGATAATAGCCATCTTCCGCTTGAACCACATTGCAATGTGCCGTTTTATTCCCCTCTCAGTCGAATGTTTTCTGGAAGGGAAAGGAGAGAAAAAAAATCTTGCCTCTTTGTGGAATATCATCAGAGAATGAATAACAGCAGGGAAGCCTCTTTTGATAACAGGGTGACATTACTAAAATGCACAAACTGTTCGAACGATTAAACGAGCATTAAAATACGCGCTGCATTCTTCGCAGAACTAATATTCTGAAGGTGCTTATTTATGGCCCTGCCTTGTGTAGGCTCGGCCGATCTAAGCCTCTTCGGGACCAAAGTCCGCCTTTCCCCGGGTCTGTATGTACCCTGTCCATTATGGAAGCCTACCGGAAACGCGGTGTCATCTCAATTCGGTTCAGGATGCGAGGCAGCCAAGCGTTTTCAAAGCCTTTGGGGAAGCGGTGCGCGGGGGTGGGTGAGTGGCGGAGGGAGCGGGATGGCGCTTCACAGGTTCCACCGCTGTCTCTCATTCCAGGGGAGGGGATGTGATTAATGACTTCCTAAATAAGAGGTCAGTTTGCAAGCTCAGCGTTCAACGAACCTCCCCCGGCAACGATTGTTCTCCAGGAGGCGGGAGAATGGAGGAAGAGAGACTGGAAAAGCTAAACTAGAATTTGCCAGGGAAGAGGAAACACCGGAGCAGCGGCAGGAGGAGAGGCGGAAAACAAAGACTGGAGGGATGAAACTGGCTCAGAAGTTGCTGTTGATTCGGTCCCCTTCTAGACAGCCGGCAGTCGCTCGGACTGTTATCCTGTCCAGGCTTTACCTGCGAGTCCGGTCACCCTACAGTGGAATTGACATTTTAATAGACCCGCACACCAATTACATGGGGGGAAACCGACCATCTAACCCAAAGAGCTCCAGATTCATCAGCGGAATCTTCAGGGCGACACACAGGCGGAGGGATGAGGGGCGTTAATGACAAGTGCACGCCGCTGCCTCTGTGACGCTACCGGGAATCCGGGCAGCTCAGTCTTGGGCGCGTTCAGCTTGAATGGCAGCCCAGTGACTCTTCCATGCGAGCTTTCCCAGTCCTTTGCCGTTGGACTAAAGTGGCGACCGATCCTTTGAGGACCGCTTGCTTAGCAGTCCCGCTTGGGACTTGGGATCGCTCGCTTTCTATTACGTAGCCTGCGTAATAGACACTTATGAAAAGCACGTGTCCTGTATTCCATTGGAAAGGATACGAACAGGATCAATCCCAACGTATCAGTTTTGGCCTCCCTTGAAAATACCCGCTGCCTTTCAACACTTGCAAGGTCGGGGCAAGTTCTGCCACCCATTCCCTCCCCCCATCCCTCCCGCCGTGCTGTAATTTGCCTTGGATGTTCGGGTTTTCTTTCACCAACGAAATCACAAGGTTGTCCGTTGTTGGTTTAAACCTGGCGACAGGCTGTCTGAACAAACAGTGAAAGGCCCTCCAGATTAACTAAAGGGGCCTATTTACTCCCGGGTTCGAGCGTGTCTGTTGCAGGGAGAGAAAAAGGTGCAAACCTCTTTTCCTTGCGCCCTGTTTTAAGTGGACAGGGTACTTTCCTGCCGCGACAACATCTCCACGCGTTAATTCGTAGCGATGCCCAGGTTGTTCTCTTTTTTGGTGTAGGGGAGGAGGGCTGAAGTTCTCTACGGCTGCATTCCTCTGGGTACCTTCAACCATCAGCTCCCCATTGGTGATTCCGGTGTTGGAGGTCGTCTTGCTCAGCTCTCGCTCCTCCTCCTTCTCCTCCCGCCCTCCTCGCTCCATCTCCGGCGCAGCTTTTCACGCAACTAAAAGAGCGCGCAGAAAAGCCGGGGAGGGGAGAGGGGAAGAGCTAAATGGCGCAGAATCTGTGGCGCCTCCTTCTGAGGCTCGGGATCGGGGCGCAGGTCTCAGCCCAGCCTCGGGAAGGTTTGCTTTAGAAATAAATGCCTTCGGAGTTCCACGGGACTTCCTTCCAAATCAGCCCAGAGAGAAGCGAATCTTTTAATTCGAAGGAAGAGCTATTTGAGACTGGAGGACAGCAAGAGATTTTCCTAAAAAGGTGAGGCGGAGAAACCGACAACTAAAACGTTTTTACTTAACCAGAAATAGAGGACCGAACTCAATGTCTTCCTATTATCAGGGGCTGGGTGCTGAAATTGGGAAGGAAGGACGTCTCCCCTCACCTTTCTTTACCAATGAGAATAAACGGCCTTCAAAGGATTTGGGAGAAGCAAAAAATTAACAAGGTGGCGGAACATGGTTTGAGGGATGTAGTCCGTCCAAATAGAGGACTGTTTCTTGCTGCAGCTCTGGCAGTTGTGGCTTCTCTTCGGTTTAAGCAACTCCACGGCTGCCTGAAACCCTGCGCAACGAATTAAGTATTTGGCTTCTGCCTTTTCAAAACGAAGGGACATTTTGCTTTAACCCCCCACCCCCATGTAAATGGATTCGCAAGTTTGAGTCCTCGCATTGGGGGAGGCCACGAGCCTGGATCCCTCTTTGAGGTTTTGCCTTATCCATTCACCTCGTGTGATGGTCGGTTCTTGCACGCGACTGTTCAATTTTCTCCTAGACCTCTGAAAGCCGAGACAATGCGAGAAAAGCATCATTATCGTACACAAAATACAGTGTTCCTTAGCAACTGAAGTTTATGAAATGTCAAGTTGCATTCTGCGTAGTATCTGTTATAAGTCTAAAAGAACACTCACTGTGGAGAAAAAGCTGGCAAAAAATGTTGTGTGTGTGTGTGTGTGTGTGTGTGTGTGTGTGTACCACCCTGCTATTAATACATCCGTCCGCAAGAGTTTATATGCTGACAGGCCGCTAGAAAAACAATGCCTCCGCCGATAGTGTAGAAGGTGAAAATCTTAAGAAGGCAGAATAAACATGTCCCTCCCGTTCCCAAAAATAAAGATATGCGACTTTTGGTTCAGAGCGTATGATTCGGTTTTGCAGAGGCTTTACTTAAGT